GTGGCAGATGACAGAACAAGGAGTAATGGTCTCAAGTTGCAGTGGGGGAGGTCTAGGTTGGATATTAGAAAACACTATTTCACTAGGAGGGTGGTGAAGCACTGGAATGGGTTACCTAAGGAGGTGGTGGAATCTCCATCCTTAGAGGCCTTTAAGGCCCGGCATGACAAAGTCCTGGCTGGGATGATTTAGTTAGTGTTGGTCCTGCTTTGAGCAGGGGGTTGGACTAGATGACCTTCTGAGGTCTCTTCCAACCCTAATCTTCTATGAGTCTATTCATAGTGGCGATAATGATGTGTTTGGCTGCCAACCGTCCTCCGTGCTGAGCTGCAGTATTCTGAGGGCTAGCCAGATGGCTTGACCATTATATTAAACCATGCTCCTCCTAACTGGGACAATTTGATGCATGCCAGTACCATGGCTTCCTGTGTTAAGCAACATTCCTGTGTTAAGCACTCCTCCACACATCCATTGTGAGGATGCTACAGTCAGAATGGTTAAGAAGATCAGGGAAAACCCAAGTCTACCACAATACACAGGCTTCTACAACCACTCAGGAGCACGCTTGTCATCGAGGCACCTGTTGTGTGCCCGCTAGCGCTGCCATGATTTCTCTGTGCCATCGATGTGGCCTGAGGAGAGGTCTGCAGCTGATGTCAGAAACCAGTCTCTTATAACTGACCTGCCCACACACGTCCCTGGCTTCACCACATTGCCAGTTTTGAATGCAACTACAGCAACTGCTTACATGGAAAAGTAACTTTTGGAACATATTTAATTTATTTAGAGCTTCTTTTAATGCAGTTTGGCAGCTAGCAATAAGGCAGAGGAGCCAGTACCATGTGACCAGCCAACTGTCTGTGACTGAGGCAGCAAGTGCCCCAGGTTGAGAACCACTGATGTAGGATAATCTCCATAAAGTAACATTTTTAGGAATTAACATTTTGCAGAGTTCAAAGTGAACACAGATTATTTTTGCACCATATTATTCAATAAATATAAAGTACAAAGAGAGCCTCAAAACGTGGCACAATTGGGAACTGCTGGCAGAACAATATGAAAATTAGTTTAGGGAAAAGAAAGTTCCAGTGGGATACCTTATACATGCTATAGATTTTCTTTCGAAAGGGATCTTACTACAAAAAAAAAATCATTTTTCATCATTTGGGTGGATTTTGTGTTACTTTAGGGAAAGTGATGTAAATGATTTACCATCACTGTAACCAGACCACCCACTCAGGAGTGGGAGAAAAAGTTTAGGCACTATAAATAAAGATGAAGTGTGGCGTTAGTCTATACTTTGTAATGGCTGTAATAAATAGAGTTCTTTGTTGGCTTTTGCATAGTTGCCTTTTAGATATTATAATAGTAATAATACTAGTATAATGAGCCCAATAACTCATTTAGAAACCAAGGAAATTAAAAAGGAACTTGCATTATGATGAGTTACACTTTAAGCACTAAACAGCTAATTCCAAAGTACATATCAGACCAGTGTAGTGTGACAGGAACACTAATGCAATGAATACTGGAATAAGTACCTAAGAACACCTGGGTCATATGACCCACACAAACTATGTAATAAAGTGGTATAACATTCGCCCAGGAGACATGTGGCAGAAAATTATTTACCTCAGCAGTGGCCCTTTTTAGGATTTTATGCTCATGTATAGGGATTTGTAATAACTACTATATCAGACACAATGTTGCTAAAAAGAAACCCTTTTAACTCGAAAGGGGGCTTTTTGCCTCACTATACCTTATTTTGGATCTTTCTGTCCCAAATCTGGACAAAACAAAGGCCGTGTCATTTGCAAAATGGTTTTCATTCTGGGGTACAAATAAGTGGTGGGAAACAAACATCATTAAAATGGAGTCAGTGGGAAGATGTATGACTGTATACAAAGACCAAAAATGATGGTGAAGGACTTGAAATGGACCTTCCCTGGAGGATCTCTCCCCCTTCTTCACTGGAATTTGTGTTGGCAAATGGTGAACTTCCATAATCTAAATGCATATCTCATGCAAAACCATAAGACAATTTATTTGTTTCTCAAATCATTATGCCTAAGCACCAAAAGATTCACCTACCTGTTGGATGTGAGGCTCATGAGAGCCAATGTGTTGATGAAGTATCACGAAGGGCAGACTGCAGAATGCCATTTCATTTTCATCATTTTGTACATATTGTGTCATGAGTGTTGTCAGAGTCTCTAAGTAGGACACTTTTGACTGTGGGGCCCACAATACATCTCTCCCTTTGAGCCTCATCTTCATGTCTCTTGGGAAATGTTGAAAGGAATTCTATTTGTCGGAGTATATGTACATGTTACCTTGTATCCTTTTGCCATTTTAGGCCTCATCTGTTGGTGATATTGGGCATAACATGAGGGAGAATGCAATCCCCATAATACATAACAGAGCATTTAGGTGATGTGTGGTAAATTGGATGAATGTTTCCTGAGAGATACCACATTGTCATGATGGCAAAATTAGCACTGCTTTATCATTGGTATGAGATAAATAATTATAATTTAATATTAATAGTTCATATTTATATAGCACTTTTCATATGCATTGCACAAAGCCCTTTACAAAGATGGCGCACCAGTAATGTCCCCATTTTTCAGATGGAGTTACTGAGGCACAGGAAGTTCAGTGACTTGCTCAAGGTCATGTGATAAGATAGTGGCAGTGCTGGGATTTGACTCAATGAATCTTACTCTCTAAGCCTTGTGTTCATTTCAATAGACCACAACTACAGAACATAGTTGATACTGTTTTCCTGAGGTAATCAGCCTAAGATGTAATTAGTGGAAAGATGAAGGAGATTTACACTGCATGGGTGGGCACATAATTACTGAGTACTACTGGGATAGCATTGTTTATGCACTCAAGGAATCAAGGAGCCCATTTACCAGCTGGAGTACTGGGCCTTAAACCAAGAGCACAAAATTACAGCAAGCATGCTCCAGATATGGGATTAGCTATTAGTTACCAGAGGGAGTGGGACTCAAAGCCAGCTTCATAGCACCAGCTTTTTAGGGGAATTCACAAGAGGACTCTAGATTAGATCTACTGTCCTGCTGATGCTCAGTGATCCACAAAGTTCAGGACACCCCATCCCCACATCCCTAGAGTAGGTGAAGCACATGTCAGTAATGACAGTGACCCAGCCAATATACTAGTTAGTATAATATTACTGGTATGAAAGGGAGATGATTAAAAATTCACCTGTTCCCCACCACCTACTAGCTAGATGGTCCACAAGACATTCCTAGTTCATTATCTCTCCTGTACCTAATTATAGCTTTGGACTGCAAACTCTTTAAAATTTCATTCTCTGCCCTTTGTCTTGTAAACTTTACATGCTTTAATGCACCCTGTACCCTCTGCAGTGCTAGAAAAACAGCATTACTAAGTGAAGAACTATATCAGGGGAAAGTCCTATAAATCTCTTGACTAATAGGAGGCTAAAAGCTGCACAATTCAAATATTGGAAATCTACTTTCAGATAATCTGGCAACTTGTTATAACCAGTAAACAGTTACTAGTTTTTCTTGGTATTCATTATAACATTAATCATGGTGGACTCTTGGAACAATAGTGTGGTTTTAATATGCATGTCTATGGGAAATTATTTAGCAGAACAAAAATAACAATTAATTATGATGTCAGAGAGGAAGTCTACCAGTCTCTTATCCAAAAGATTTGTCACATTCATTTATCAATGTTTAATGAAGTTTCCATGGAAGCATATAATGTTTGAAACCAAAAATCAAACAAAGAATGGGGCCTTGTATATTGTGTTCTGGGTGCCTGGTTTCCAAATATGCTATAATATAAATAACAACTACATCCAAACCAGAGGGACAATTGTGATCATCTCCTCTGTGTGTGTGACACTCATTACATATTAAATTACATCAGGTGGGTGTACAGAAAGAGAGACTGTTCTAATAGCTGCAAACATGAAAGGAAATATAGTCAAGAGCAGACATACTCAAACTTTGCACTGCTGCGGGCCAAACTAGCAGTTTGCCCTAGGGTCTCAGGACTATGCCTGCCTGGCATACTCATTGAAACCAAGATTTTAAAATATATCTCAGGCAAGTAGGATGCCCAATTCCCATTCATTTTAATTGGTTGTCCAACTGCCTTAGGCAGTGCTTAAAATCAGCCTACAAGTACATGCTTTTAAAATCAAAAAGAAAGGTGCACACAGTATATTTTTTAAAAGCTTCTAAGTCACTTAGGAGCCAATGTCCTATTTTTTAAAAGTGAAGTAGACACTTAGGAGTCTGACCTCTAGTCTGCACTTAAAGTTTTACTGGCATAACTATGTAGGTAAGGGGTATGATTTTTTTTACTGACATAAATGTGTCAGTAAAAGCCTTAGAGTAGACACTGTTATACTGTATGTTGTTTTATACTGATATAGGTTATTTTGCTTTCGCCAAACCAGAATGTTATACCAGTATAAGCACTTTTATACTAGTATAATATCATCTGTGCTAGGGCATTTTTGCATCTAACTATGCCAGCATAGTTATAGAAGTACAACTTTAAGTGTTGACAAAGCCTAAGTCTCAATAAGAACAGGAGTACTTGTGGCACCTTAGAGACTAACAAATTTATTCGAGCATAAGCTTTCGTGGACTACAGCCC